AAGAAATAAAAGACTGGTATAAATGTAGAAAAATAGGGGTAAATATTAAGGTAACCACAAAGGAAACTAACAATCCTACAAGTCAAAATAAAAAAACTAGAAAAAATAAAGACTCGGCAAACACAAAATCAACAACAATGGAAAAGATGAAAAGAAAATACATAAAGAAAAACGACTCAGCACAAAAAATTAAGTGGAACAAAGAAAATGTGAACAACACACACACACACAAAAACATCAAAATGACAGCACTAAACTCATACTTACCAATAATTAAGCTGAACAGAAATGGACTAAATGCACAATAAAGAGACAGAGAGTGGCAGATTGGATAAAAAAAATAATCCATCTATATGCTGCCTACATGAGACACACCATAAACACACAAACTAAAACTCAAAGGATAGAAAAAAATAAGCAAACAACACTCAAGGAGTGGAAATACACCAGGAGGACATAATATAATTAATATTCACGAACCCAACGACAGGTCTCCAAAATACATAAACCCTAACAGCACTGAAAAGAGAGATAGACAGCTCCACAATAGTAGTAGACTTCAACACACCACTTTCAGTTAAGGACAAAACATCCAGAAAGAAGCTCAACAAAGACACGGAAGAGCTAAATGCTACAATTAACCAACTTGCTCTCATAGATATATACCAAACACTCCACCCAAAGGCAGCCAAGTATACTTTCTTCACCAACGCACATGGAACATTCTCCAGAATAGACCACATATTTTACCATAAAGCAAGCCTTAACGAAATCCAGAGCATTGAAATATTACAAAGCATCTTTTCTGTCCATAAAGCCATAAATGTAGAAATCGACAACAGAAAAAGCAAGGACGAAAAAACACATGGAAATTGAACAACACCTTGCTCAAAACTACTGGGTTATAGCAGAAATCAAGGATGGAATAAAGAAACTCATAGAATCAAACAAGAATGAAAACACATCCTACCAGAACCTTTGGGACACAGCAAAAGCAGTGCTCAGAGGT